ATTTATTAAATCAACATTTAATTCAATAATTGTATTTATTTAAAATTAAATCAAACAGAGAAAACAAAATGGGTGTTTATTTTCAAATCGAATAAATAAAATTATAGGAGCATCATAGTTTAATTGGTGTTGCTAATGTATTTTTGGAAGTGTTACTTCATGATATGAGGCTTGATTATCATGTTCCAATTATTAGTCAACAGGTAAGCATTAAAATAATACAAATAATAAGAGATAAAATTATCTGGCTAAGTTTTAGAAAACACACAAAAAAAAAGATATCTAGCCAAGTCTAAAGAACAATAAAAAAATCTGGCCAAGTCTAAACAACAATAGAAAAAAAAAAAAGAAATGGTATAAGATTAGTTTATAAAATTATTGTAGGGTGAAGTTAGTGGTCGTCTTCATGTTGAAGTATATCGTTTATGTGAAATGGATGATTCTGGTATTGTAAGTAGTTTGGATTCATTGGATTCAAATCGTACATTAGATCAACAATCTATTGGTGTTACTTTTTTGGGCAAAACAATTAAATGCAGGGTAATGTATAATTTATTTATGTGTTATGTGTGTATGTTTTTTTTTAAATATTAAAATTAAATTAAATTTTGTAAAAATTTTTTTAATTATATGTAAATTTTAGGTTCGTATTAAGAAAGCATCAAATTTACCATCATCATTATCACATTTTGTATTTTGTCAATATTCATTCTTTAATATTAGCGAAATTTTGGTTGTTGCTCCAATCTTTGATCCAAATATATCACAATCAGATCATGTTGATATTTCATCCAATTCTAATTTTCAATTCGATCATGAAAAGGTTTCGTTATTATCATCATTTACTTTACAAATAATTACTTTAAATTAAATGATTTGTTAATTTGGTTAAAATTAATTAAAATCTATTATAAATTATTCGGTTATCAAAAATTAGAGAAAATTTAGCATTTCCTCTAATTAATTAAATCGTTAAAGAAAAATTAATAATTTATCTGTTTGTAAAAAAGTTAAATGCAGTTTGTGTTTTTTGCTAAATGATTTTTGGATGATTTTACTCTAGATGATTGGT